ACACAAGTTATTTTCTAAATAAACAAGCTAAGTTTATATCAAATTTTTAAATACAACTTAATTATTTATTTAATTACTAACAATTACATACAACTTAATTATTTATTTAATTACTAACAATTACAAATATTTCTAATAACTTTATTTTTTATCTATTTAATATACTTTTGGAAAAAATAATAGCTTAATTTAATTACTTAATTATTTATTTAATTACTAACAATTACAAATATTTCTAATAACTTTATTTTTTATCTATTGAATAGACTTTCGAAAAAAAATAATAACTTTATTTAATTACTTAATTATTTATTTAATTACTAACAATTACAAATATTTCTAATAACTTTATTTTTTATCTATTTAATATACTTTCGGAAAAAATAATAACTTTATTTAATTACTTAATTATTTATTTATTTGCTAACAATTACAAACAACTTAATTATTTATTTCATTACTACCAATTACAAATATTTCTAATAACTTTATTTTTTATCTATTTAATATACTTTGGAAAAAATAATATTTCTTTAATAATGTAATAAAACTATATTCAACAAGTATATATTAATTTTTTTAATACAGACTTATTTTTTAAATTAATTAATATGCATTTAACATATTTTTCATAACTTTATTTTTTATCTATTCAAAATAATTTCCAAAAAATGCTATATTTTTTTCTTAATTAATATTGTAATTACTTACCTATTTAACTAAATGAACAACTAAATATATAATCTTAATATTTAATCAACAAAATAACAATATATTAAAATTTAATTAATATTTAATTTATTGATTAATTTATTACTAACCTAACGATTTAACTTAATGAACTAGGAATAAATAAACTTACTAATATTTTCAATAAATTTTGAATTACTTAAGTAAATTAACAATTAGTAGCTACACTAATAATTAACAATAACAATAACAATAACAATAACAATTTAAATTACAACATAAAATAAAATATAAAAATTATATTTTCTAACTAAAAAACTTAAAAATAAATTAAAGTAAGTAAATTCACAATTAACAATCAAATTAATTCAATCAACAACTAAAAATAAAAATAACACAAAATTTAAAAATTAACAATAATATTCAATTAATCAATAATTAACAACAACATTAACATAACAATTAATAATTAATATTAAATTAACAATTAAACATTTCAATTAACTACCATAATTTACACTAAAAAAACACATGAAATAAATTTTAATTAAATAATCAAGTTAAAAAAACATATGTAATAAACAATCAATTCAATAATTAAACTATCAATAATAAGTAATTAAAAAAATAAAAAACAAAATCAAATTTTTCGACTTAAATAAATAACTGAAAAAATTAATAATTGAAAGGAGGGATTAGATTTAGGTGGACTTGTCACCAAGAGAAGGATGAGAGGGGGCGACTACCGCTGGCCAAAAACCTCGTCGGAGTATGGTCGTCAAAAAATGATAGCTTGAACGGCAGAGAGAAAGATTGAAAGGAGGAGTAAAAGAGGGAAGAAAGAGGGAGATTTTTAGAAAACAAATTGAGGAAAGAGAGGAGAGGTTTGGAGCAAAAAAAGGCGATTTAGTCACCTGTCGGAGAGAAGAAGAGAGGAGAAGAAAAGATTTGCGGATTTCGTTCAACTAGAACTTATAAATGGGTAAATTTTTTAGTGACGGTCCTAGACGAGTCGCTAATCCGTCGCTAACCATCAATTTAAAATTAAATTTTACCGTTTCCCACCAACGGTTTACTTTTAGCGATGGATTTGTGATGGTCCTAACAATCCGTTTGCAACAATTATATTTGCAACCGTTACAAAAAAACAAAACTTATTACGTTACCAACGGTTTAACGACGATCTCAAACCATTGCTAAACCGAATATTTTTGCAATGGTTTAAGGATACCAAACCGTTGCTAATCTTCGGTCCGTTTCAGCTCGACCCAATTTGGTAACGATTTAGCGACGGTTCGGACCATCACTAATCGTGTAATTTATTTGCAACGGGTTTTTTTATGAAACCGTTGGAAAAATATTAAATAATATTTAGCAACGGTCAAGACCGTTGCTAATACCAATTATATCTTTAGGAACGGTTTACCAACGGTATAGACCGTTGCTAAATTTGCTATGGTTTATAATGTATAAAAGCTGTCGCTAAAATGGTTGACCTTTAAAATTAGCAACGGAATTTCAGATTGTCACTAAAAAAGGTCGCAAATTAAAATATTAGTAACCGTTTTTTAAACCGTTGCTAAAATCAGTAAAACCGTTGCTAATTTTAGTCTTTAGTAACGGTTTTTTGACCATCGCTAAATGTTCGTCGCTAACAAATATTTTTCTTGTAGTGTATTGTAGCAAAGTCCTGGTACATTGAATAAAACGATATGTTTTTTTTTTTCGAACAACGTCGTATTACTAAAAAAAATAAAGTCTATTTTTTTCTAACAATTTGGTTCTTTGAGTTCTTTTTTTACAAAGCAGTCCCTAAACTTTATTTGCATTATAACAAAGTCCCTAAAAGTCGAGGGAGGAGAGAAGAGGGAGGAAAGAGAAGAGGTTCAATTTTGTCGATCAATCATGTTTAAAAGTTATGCGTACTTGATCAACGAGAGCTCAGCTGGAACGCCCATATATAAGAGCCACACGTATGAGTTGTTGAAACATGAAATTAAGGATAGTTTGTGATCTGAATGTTTTTATACCTTAATTATATGTCCTGTGACGCATAATAGGAAAGGATCGATTTTGAAGATTAAGATAATGAAAAGTAGCAGATCTTAATTTTTGTAACTTCTCTGAGTAAAAAGCTTTTGCAGAGTGATGACAGGGATATAGGCTTAAAGTAGCAGATTGATCTGGCTACTGATAATGGAGAATGGGACTTCTCCTTTCTTTGTACTCAACTTCCTCAAGGTGTCCATCACTGATCAAATTATGGGTGTCGTTCCTCCAAAGCCTTTTGCCAGTCAAGATAGAATCATTTGGTCTTCTGCATCTAATGGCAGTTACTCTACTAAGTCTGGGTATCTACTCATGACTGGTTGCCAATATCACGTTAGCACGAACAGCGAGTTTGAAATGGATTTGGTGTCACCGTCTCTCAAATTAAACTTCTGCTCCATTTAATTTAATAAATATTTATTAAAAAATTCTAATAAATATTAAAGTGAATTAAAAAAAATTGCTGATATAATTTTTAAATGGGTATTGCTAAATCCACCATGTGTTTTGTTATTCTCACTAATTTTTTATTTTAAATTACTAACAAACTCTTACATCTAATCACTATCTAGTCACTAACTTGATGTGTGGTAGTGTGTTGGTAATTTACAATAAAAAAATTGATGAAAATAACAAAATGTTTGGTGGATTTAGCAATACCCTTTTTAAATATGGGTACTCATTTTATATTCTACAAATTATTTTTATTTTTTTTTAATGGGTACTCATTTTATATTCTACTAATTATTTTTATTTTTTATTTTTTTAAAAATAAATATAAGGATCTAATTGCATAAATTTTTGGTGGTAGAGACCAAAATCTTTTTTATCAAAATTTTAAGGACAAAAAAAATTGTAAATAAAGGGTCAAATCGTAAAAATAATTAAATTTTATTGAAAATTAAAAAGATTGAATTGAAATATTTTGACTAATATTTTAGTCATTCCGTATAAGTATTAAATGAATAGATAAAGAGATATAAGTCGGTATGAATTTAAAAAATAATTTTTTTTAATGAATATGTATAGTGTATTTTCTTAATGAGTAAGATAAAAGATTCAATTAATGAACTAATTTATATTTGATGTATTCTTTTAATAAATAGATAGGAATATTTTTACATTTGAACCTACTTGAAGTTAGATTGATAGTTTTCCAAACTTACTTAATAGTTTATCTTTTAATGTGGATGACAAAGAATAGAATTATAACTTAGGTGTCGTTTGGTTATCAAGAATGAAAGGTCCGAAATGGAAATGTAGAAATCAAAATGAAAATTAAGAAATTGGAATACCATTTGTATTTACATACCGTGTTTGGAATACTAATGAAGAATCGAAATGCAATTTAAATTTTTTAATATCTAATTTTTTATACAAATAAAAATAATAATTAAAAAAATAATTTTATCAAACTATAATAGTTGTAAAAATAATCAAGGTGATGGTGGTTGTGGTGGTTATGACGATGGTGGTTCTAGTGGTGGTAATAGTTAGGGTGGTGATAGTGGTGCTTATGGTGGTTGCGGTGGTGGTGTTGATGTTGGTGCTAGTTGCAATGGTGGTGGTGGTGGTGGTGGTGATAGTAGTAAAAATAGTTAATAGACAATAAATAAATAAAATGTATTATTATTTTGAAAAAAAATTTCATTCTCATTCCTTATTTTTATTCCAACATCGTATATGGGAATGAAGTTACGTGTAAATTTTTATTCTCATTCCCACTTCATTCCTTTTAACCAAATAGCTACAATGTGAGAATAAAACTTTCATTCTCATTCTCACCACTTTATTCTTGATTACCAAACACCACCTTAAGACTTTGCTCCTAGCTAAGAACAATTTTGGATTGAACACGATCAATAACCTCAAAAATACATTTCTAGCCTTAAATTAACTCGCTTAAAAGAGTTAACATCTTTTTTTCTGTTTTTTTTTTTTCCTCAATGGCTCTAAAAAAGATTTGTCCCCGGTTACACTACAATAAGGACCACAACTTGGATTCGTACGGATAAGGAGTGGAAAATTCAAAGCCTTTGTAAGAAATTAAAGATCAACATGAGTGAAAACTTCAAAGTCTTTGCAAGAAATTAACAAGGAAAAATGATGTTAAATCCTATAGTGAAGAACACGAAAAGAGGCAAGAAGTGCCCTTTAAGATCCAAAAAAAATACAAATATAGGAGTGAAAGCGGTAGTTTCCAACATGGGTGTAATTGAAAGCTAGGCAAGAGCAATAGCTATATTTGGGTGGAGAAGTTGAAGAGGTACGACATTTGTAATTTTGAGACATTTTTATTACCAAACTCGCTAATTACGCTATGTAATTTGAGTGTTTGACTAAATTCTTGTCCATTCTTTTGAAGTCGAAGATGAATTGTGGAGCAACAAGATGTCAATGGAATGATGAAAAGCCCGAGAAACTTTTATACAACAATTTGCAACTTCAAATCTCTATCTATACATAAATACTTCTCTTTGCACATAAAAATGGTAATTTTTACCTAAGAGCATTGGTTTGATCGAAAGTACTTTAGTTACTTGACAAAATAATCTCGAGTTCAAATCTTTATATACGCATAAAACTTTTTAGATAGTTACCTCCTCTTATGCGTTTCACGGAATAACAAAAAATTAATGTGGAGCTTTAGGATTGGACTACATTAGGGTTCCAAAAAAAAAAAAAGGTTATTCTCTCATAATTTCAACATCCATCAACTTCTTATAAGATTTCATCGATCTATATTACCAGCTTAGCTCCAACAAATTTTTAAGAAGTAGTGTCCGCTTAATATAATATCATATACATAATGAAGTCTCGTAAAAATTTGTATCATTAATATCATAGCTTCATTCAAAGTCTCGCAGAATAATATTTTAACCGGAGAAAGAAGCATAAAAATTTCTAACAATGTCAAAATTTACGAGTGATCTCTTATATGTACAAGCAAACATAGTACTTGTGCGTTTTCATGAATAAGTCTATATAATATCTTAAATAATTTAAAAAACTCTAGACATAAAATAAAAATTAATCAATATTAATTAAATAAATTTATTTAATTTAGTATATATTATGTAGTATTCAATAAAATATTTATATTTTATGTTTGAGTTTTAATGTATTATGCAAATATATTTGGCACACTAGTAGAGAACATATATTACATTGAATAACCAAATCGAAGATAATTAATATATAAAGTTGAGAATGGACCATCCGTAATATCTCAAATTCGTTATTAAAGTATTTAAAAATATATTAAGGATGTATGAAAACTATTCGGTGGGCATATGATAGTTGCCATAAGGATTCTAGAATATTCGGTGCACTTGGGATAATTTTTCGGTGTTGAGTGAATATTTTATTCGATTCTCGGTGCATGAATAGTAACTTTTTATGCAAAATAATTATTTTGAGCTTTTTAAATTTTCTTGAAAAATATTTTGTTTACATAGAATAATTGTTAGAGCGGTGCTAGATTATTCAAGTGCCATTGAATAAATTTGTTGATGTTCGGTTCAAATTTTCAATTCATGAATAGTGCTTTTTAGTGCAAATTAATTATTTTGAGTGTTTTAATTGTGTTTGAAAATTATCCAAAGGGCATAAAAATCATCAAGGAAGTGTAGGAATATTCCATGAGCGTAGATGAATTTTTCTATGCATAGGGAATATTTACTATTAAAATAAGTGCATTTTTACACAAAGAAATTAATTTGAAGGTTTAAATAAGTGTATAAAAATTATGTGAATTGTGAATAAATTCTCATAGGAGATGTTTGAATTTATTATGAAAAGAAATTTATTTTTAAAAACATGTAGAAACAATTTTACATAGTAGGGACCTAATTGCATAGAATTAAAAGTTTAAACTTTCAAATTAAATTAGGAATGAACTTTAGGAAGTGAAAAATTGTTAGGAAAACCTTAAAGAAATCAATTCAATAATTTGAGGACTTGTGGGAGAGTAATTATATGAAAGTTTATGAAATTAAGGGACTAAATTGGAGCAACTTTTAGGAGAGATTTTTTCTCCTTTTTGCTGACTTTGGGCTCCATGATTAGGGAGAATTAATTATCCTTTGACATATGGATTAATGGACGGCTAAGATTAAGCTAAATGGAGGATTAAACTTAAAGGCTAAAATGAAACAAATTGAAAGGCTAGGATTGAAAATAAGTTTAAGGGTTAGGATTAAGCTAAATGAAGGGTAGAGATCAAGTCAAAATTCCACCCAAACTCACCTATAAATATGGGTGAAAAAGATGCATAAAAAATATTGAAAAATCTAAGGAAACCTCTTGCAAATTTTTCATAGAATTCTATTTATATGTTCATCTAAACACTTCTAAACATCTTAAAACATCTAATTAAGTGAAGAATTCAAGCTAGAACATTAAAAATCCCCGGGAGGAAAATTTCATGTGTTGGCCGAAACTTTGAAAACGAAAGGGGAAGGAAGAAGTTTCTAAGCAACTCACCTTTTCAAAGGTTTAATTGAAGCTTTAGAGATAAGTTAATCTCACCTATACCACAAAAATGTTTTTATTGATGTTAATTGTTGATTTAATGCCCTTAATTTGTCTTTAATTGAATTAATTTTAGAAATTAAGGTTAGGGTTCTTGGTGAGGAAGATTTGTGGCAAATTATTTTGAGTTGAAAATTCATTCAATTGAAGTTAAAACATGTTAATTGGGTTTGAAGTTATCTATAAAAAATAAACAAAAAAAAAATCGTAGGCTTAGGAGAGAGAAACCATTCGTCCATAATGCTTAATTTAAGGGTTTTTAATGCTTTTAATTTTTTAATATTTAATTTCTTGATTATGTATTAGCAAGGCATATTAAGATGTTTGAGCACAAAAGGTTACATTAAAATTAAAAATTTCAACTAGTTCACTTTAGTTGACATTTCGGCCCAATTAGCCCAATTTAGGGGTTTTGGTGCAATTTAGTGTTTGACTATGTAATTAATAGTTTTATAATAATTTTAGTGTGATGTTTATGCCTAAAATGTGCAATCGTATGTTTGTGGCATGCTTGCATATATTTATGGAAGTTGTGTCATGTCTAAATGCTTGTCGTAAGCTACCATTATTGGTTCAAAATGCAAAATGTGACTTGTTATGGTACCTTGTGATGATGGTTTGTGATTAAAATATGAATCATAAATGGTTGGTCATGGTTGACAAGGTAATGTATTATTAATGATCCATTTTTATTGTGTTGGAAATGGTACCGTTATGGTTAAATGCACCTTATTTATGGCACTTCATTTGGCATATAATACATAATGCATAGGCATAATGCATTTAAATTAAATGCATTATATTATGTTATAAGGTTATGGAATTGCATTGTA